TAGTTTTGTTTGCAGAAAATAAACTATGAAAGAATGGTAAATACAAGCAAAAGATGCTCGGTTTCGCCGGATTTAGCACTTCTTCGAATATACATATACATTTTAAGGAAAATTTAACACTTCAAAAAAAAGTCTTTGCATTAAACTTAAAATTTAACCTTAAATTTGTTTTAATCTACACATGAGAACAAATTTGGCTTGGCTAAAAACGCCTTCGCTCTGCATTTTAATCAAATCATTTTCGACCTTATTTTTCCCATTAAACAAGGGCTCGAAGGGGCTCAGAAAAGCGAGCCTAAATTTATAGGCTTCACTTAGACACATATTTTCAGAGCTCAATTGTTAACCAATAAAAGTTGTTGGCTTGCTTAAATGGAACAAAGCCAAAACAAGTGAGCAAGCGTTAAATAAAAGCTTGAATGTTTTCTCTCACAGTCAAGCTGTTGCTCAACACTGTTAACCAGTGTCTCAAGTCGTGTTGGGCCCTGCCTTGCTGCTGCCTCAGCAAAGTTCGCACAAAATACACACACAGAGTCGGAGCCAAGCAAACAGCCAAATGCGGAGCAAGCGATTGTTTAGGATCAGGCCAGTATACATGGGGTAAACTAATATCTGCATATTGTGCGCCTCGTTGGGCAGCTGGGAGCGGGAACTGAGGACGGGTGTCAGCTGCTGACCGAGTGTGTGTTGGTAAAACTTTAACAAGCACTTAAGTATTAATCATGGAAATCAAAGTCAGCTGCGGGCCAGGCACACGTACCAGCTGAACATGTTTGTATAGACTGTATGAGTGTGTGTGTGCGTGTGTTCGTGTTAGCTTGGCCCAAAACTTTGTTGCTGACGCTGGCGTTGGCTATCAATGTCACAAGCCGCCGGGATTCAGATTCCGTGGCGGGGCACTGGCGACGACTAATGAGGCATTAAACCTAACTGCTCAACTTTTCGCCTGTCAAGCATTTATTAAATTTAGCGTTTTATTGGCCCAACAACTTGGTGTTAACTATGGCCTGTCGCTTGCCCAAGAGGCGTGCCGGGAGGCGTGCTTCAGTTGAAATCAGATTACGTTGTTTACCGCTTACTTCTGGCGGTTGCACATCCAACTGGGCGGCAGTCAACCCCCTGGATTCCGATCTGATGCTGTTTCCTAAGCCTCCTGCCATATTTAAATAGTTGCCAAGTTGAGCTAATTTTATTTCAAGTACGTAATTGCGTTTGCGGAAATTGTATTACCCATTTATTTAGTCGAATTCAGTCTGCATAGGCTGGCTAACGAATCCGTATATGTTGGGTTGGGAATTCGTTTTATGCCAGCATGGCTAAGCTCTCCGGGCCTTTTTTTTCCCGTGCCGGGATACTGATAAAAGTTCCGGTAATGAGATAGAAATTTGCGCAAACAGCAATTCCACGTAGGAACAACTGAAAATCTTGCATAAGCCCCTATTAGAAATATTTGCTGCATTTCGAACAGTTTTCAATTACGAAACGCAGTCTGTCTGCACACCAAAATAATATTGCATTTTGTGTACCCTGTGTTGGCTGAGTCAAGTAAGAATTGCAGGTATATAGGAGTATATATTGAATTTGAATTGGATGTTGAAAGGTTCAAGGATTCTAGTTAGAAAATTCATAAACACATTTGAGTTTGCATTTAGGTTTGGCTAAGCAAGTTACATATGCAATTTCTTACTCTGACAACGCGGGTTAATTTCTCATAGTACAATATAAATTATTGATAGGCATGAATAGAGTAAGTTCTTTTTCCATTTCTGTTTGTTTCTCACAAAACATTCCAGGTTTTTTATATGCATAAAATGAACCTTTTAACAGGGTATCTACCAGCAGTCCACGCCCTGCTGCAAAACTCTTTTTCGTTTTATGCTGTCACTAATTAGAATTTTTGTCTGACAGTCACCGAATAGTTTGCAAAATTAAAAACTTGAAGTATGCTCACCAAAAAGCACCTCGTCAGTTTTTATTTTTGGGAACAATATTAATTTACAGAATTTAATGAAATAACATGCATATTTTATTTAACGCAGTCTCGCAGTCAGTTTTAAATGTATTTTATTTGTTATTTGTTTCAAGTTTCCATTTAATTAAAATGACATAAATATACATTTTTCTACATGCACATATGTTCATTTAAGCTGCATTTATTTAATGCTCATTCTAATTATTTGCAACAATATCAGCAAAAGTTTGTAAATACCAAACGTGAATATTATTGTTACTTAAAAATTAATCAAAAAATAGGCATTGTTTGAACGCATTGTTCAATGGCAAGTTTGTTTAAGGGGAAAACATTTTGTAAATTATCCGCATTTCAATTAAATTTGAATATATATTTCGGCAATGAATGGAATACGGTGCAGGGCTTGCCAAATATGCTGAATGTATTCATATATTAAAATGAATGTAATTTCAATAGGTGTAATGATTCCCTAACTTTAAAATAATTGGTTTTTAATAGAAACTTATTTACGATTCGCATTCCTAATGGCCTTTAAAAAAATTAACTCTTTTCTTTTTACTTTACATCGAGCTTAAGGTTGGCTGAAAAGAATTTATGAAGCTATTATCGATGATAGAGTCGGTAAATTTTTCATAGCTGGATTAAATGTCCTTTAAAAGTGTATTTTAATGTTTACTAGCGGGAAACAGAGCTGCAGATTGTAACATATTTTAAAAGGAGGCAACACTTTCTTCATGTTCTGTTGTTAAATTTTAGTAAGTGTTGACAAGCGAGTAAAGTAAAAGGCTTTTAAAACTGGCAAAAACAGTTGATTTTTCTTGTAGATATTTGTTTTTGCACACATAAAAATAAACTAAGAAATATTTGACTTAATCTTGTCGAAGCACATTATGCCATTAAAACTTAGCACTCGCAGTTTATGTTTTGTCTATAAAATACTTGTTGAAACAAATTAAATTATGAGCTGCCAGGCTTTTACATACAATTTTTCATTCAGCTGCCATGTGTCTATGAGAAGTGGATGGAAAAAACCATTTTAATCTTCTATCAATTTACCAAAAGTGTTAATGCATGGAAATAACAATACATAAATGTTTATATTTATATTTATTTGTATATCTAATATTAAAGAGCTAAGGCAAAACATTTGCTTTAATGTAAAGAAACTCTGATTTGGCATAGAGGTTAAATGGACCTCGTAGCAATTCAATTACATTGATTCGTCTTGATGCGTTCTTATAGCACAAATATATTGGCAGTAGTTAAATCGATTGCGTTTGCATTTGACAAATACACACAGAATCTGGAGCTAGCTAGATCCCAGCAACAAAATATGTTGATATCAACGATTTGTTAGTCGCAAATATGCAAGCAATGGCAGAGCATTAGAGGCATTTTTGTGTTCCCCCAAATCGATTAGGTAGCCAGGAATTGAGTCGTGAATCAGATTCACAAACTCAATCAGCCTATTGCTAGCAAATGCTGTAACTATGCGTAGTCTACATGCCTAAATAATTTCATATTTTGATTTACTTTGGCTCGCTGGCAACAAATCGCAGTGTGTTAAAAGCATTATGAAATATTTATGCACTCTCGGCATTGCGGATATTTGTACACGAAGTGAATGCCATGTGATGGTGATTGTGAAGCTGCCAGTGACTGTGACTGTGCCTGTGCCTGTGCCTGTGACTGGAACTGTGACACTGACAGTGACGGTGTGTGAAAGCTGCTTAGGCTTTGTAAAAGTACTCAAAGAAGTGAGAAGCGGAGAGAGAGGCGCACGGAGAGTGGCACTGAAAAAGCCAATTTACTTTTAAGCAGCCTAAAAGCGAGCAACGAAATTTTTTTTCCATGCCAACCCCGCCCACCCGATTGACTGGCCCGCCCGTCTGTCAGCAAATACAGAACCAACTAGTGACAGACCAACTAAAAGGCAACTGCGGCTGCTTTTGTAATGTTAAAGCGGCGTCGGCGTCAGCGTCAGCGTCTGTGGCGGAAATGAAACGTGCAACTGAGTGGGCGTCGGAGGGAGACCGCTGCGTACGTGCCTCTGCCTCTCTCTGTGTGTGTGTGTGTGTGTGTATAAGCCTGTTTGTGTGCTTGTGGCATTGAGTAATCATCAACGATGAAAATTGCGTTTTTTTTTTATGGAGCCATCCGCAAAAGCGCTGACAAGGCCTAGCTATACTTAGCATATGTATATGTGCATATCTGAGTGAGTGTGCGTGCATGTGTGTGTGTGTGTGTGCGTGCGTTTGTGTAGGTGTGCGTCGTTCGTGCGACACAGCATGGGCACGCATTAAAATCCTTTTTTATGACCCATCGTTCGCCCAGTTGAGGTCCTGCCATTGTGTGTGTGTGTATTTGTGTGTGTGTGTGTGTGTGGGTATTACAAATTCTGTGCCTTGTCTTGCCATCTTGCGGTTTGTCGGGGACACCGCACAAATTAATTTCCACAGCATATTCAAAGTGTTATTAAACATAATTTATTAAAAACGAAATTGTATAAAGTCAAGCCGTTGCTCTCGTAGGCTCCGACTGAGCCGAGGACTGCTGCACTTGAGCGCCTGTAATAAATTTTTGTGATTTTCGTTGTTTTTTTTTTTATTTTGGGGAGGAAGGTTGCTCGGGATCATGGGCTTCATGTGCGTGCCCTTTCGTAGCTGTGTTTTTTTTTTTTTTGGCTTGGCAACAAATGTTGCCAGTTAATGCTGTAAACAAGTTGTGTGTGGGCGTTCGACAGCGCTTGAACCCGTCTCTGTGGCCGGGCGTGCCCTGTCTGCGCCTTTGTGTGTGTGGGTGTGTGTGTGTGTGTGTTTGGGTTATGATATATGAGACAGGCATAGCAAATCGGAAATTTAATTTCCACAGAAAGTGGCTTTGAAATGGCTTTTAGCCGCATAATAACTGGCAGCTTAATTGCCGGCCATAATTTTGCGAGTCGCCTTCGTTCGTCCAAAAGGCAAATGCCCAAGAAAAGGCTAACAGCGAATGTGTTTCATTTTGCTTCTTCCTTGTTGTTCGACAGGCGCTGCTGCATACACACGATGTTGTCGCCCGGGATGTTTATGGCGAGGAGGCGCTGCGCGTCACCCCGCCGCCCATGGTGCCCTTTCTCAATGGCGACGAGCTGGACAATGTGGAGGGCGGCGAGCTGCAGCATGTGACACGCGTACGTCTTGTGCAATTCCAAAAGAACACCGACGAGCCCATGGTAAATCAAAACAGCCACAACAATTAGCCCGTTGATGCTCACAACTGTTTTCCCATTAACCACTTTGCTGCAGGGCATCACGCTTAAAATGACCGAGGACGGGCGCTGCATTGTGGCGCGCATCATGCACGGCGGCATGATACACAGACAGGCCACGTTGCACGTGGGCGACGAAATCCGGGAGATCAATGGGCAGCCGGTGCAGCATCAGTCGGTGGGTCAATTGCAACGAATGCTGGTAAGCTTTCAACTTGTATTTTGGGCCAACTTTTCTCTTACCAATTTATTTCATGCAGCGCGAGGCACGCGGTTCCGTTACCTTTAAAATAGTTCCTTCTTACCGTAGCGCACCGCCACCCTGTGAGGTAAGTTTGCCCTTTAACTAATAAAGATTTTCTTTCATTAGAATGTATCATTTTGTTAAAATTCAATATTAAACACTTTTCATATTATTTACAAACAGTTTGTGCACTAATTTAAACGAATTAATTTAAATTTTAAATAGATTTTAATTTGAACAATTTATTGCAATGTGGGCAAACGATTTTATTGTAATAAATATGATTAGCCGGGGGTTAAATTAAATATTTTGACAGGCGAAAAGGCTTAACCTGCATATACATAAATTATAAACTTTGGTCAATCAATTTCATTTTATTTTTTTTTTAGAATTTAAACTGATTTCGGTCAATGTTATTTTCTCAATGAAGCCTGTCAATCAAATGTCACAAATTTCTATTTTTTTTTCTGCTCGCATTGGCATTTGGTAAAGGGACTTACATGCAAACTGATATTATCTTTTTGGGTGTAAAGCAAACATAAATATGAGAGTAACAAAAAAAATAAATAAATAAAGCTCAACGAGTATCTCTAGTTGACAAATGAATCAATAGCTTGCCCAACGAGTATCTCTAGGTGACGAATGAATCAATGGCTTGCTTTGCGAAACTCGTTACAAAGTCGCAGCCTTGATTTGATTTTGTTGGCCTTGATAGTTGAAAGTAAATTAGAGATTGCCGCATTCTGATTGTAAACTAGCATTAAGCATAAAGCACATTAATCATTAAAAAGAATCACTTTGAAAGCATCAATGCATCAGTGCATCAATGCAGTATTCGTTTGTCTCGTTGCCTGTAGTTGAAATCCATTAAGCAATTATTTTGTTTGCCATTAACATTAACATGACTCCTACTCGCTCTTCACTACTCCCTTCCAACCTGAACATGCAGCTATTCAGGATAAGACCTGCTCCAGTGCTTGTAAGTATCACGTTCAAACACACACACACACACACACACACACAGACACACACACACGTGCATGTCATACCAATACATGTGCATACATGTATGTACATAAGCATATGCATTTACATCGCTGTTGAGTCTGCTCATTAGATTAAATCTAAAAGCGAAAATTGAACTAATTATTAACCATCGGCTATCCATTAGTCGCAACATCAGCATAAGGCAAAATAGCCAAATGTCCTTTGCTCGTCCTGATGCTGCTCTGTCTCCGGTTTCAGTCAGATTTCGGTTTCAAGGCAAAGCCTCTGTCGGTTTGGTTGCTTCGACTTCAGCTACTAAAACGTGTTTCTTTGTTGTCTTCTCCTTTATTTTTCATTTCCCAATTTGCTGTGCAGATTTTTGTTCGTGCACAGTTCGATTATAATCCCCTGGATGATGAGCTTATACCGTGCGCCCAGGCGGGCATTGCATTCCAAGTGGGCGACATACTGCAGGTAGGTGCATTAGGAGGACGCAGCCCGCAGTCTGATGGCATTCAACTAATGACTGGCTACGTTTTTGGTGTTTAGATCATTAGCAAGGATGATCATCACTGGTGGCAGGCGAGAATTGATACGGTGGGCGGTTCAGCGGGCCTGATACCATCACCTGAGCTGCAGGAATGGCGCATTGCCTGTCAGACCGTTGACAAGACCAAGCAGGAGCAGGGTAAGTGCACAGTTCACAAATCTCTAACTAACATTTACATAAATACATGTAAACCAACTATGTGTACTATTTTTATGTGTAATTGGATGCCAAATATATAATCGTATGCTTTATAATTCTATAATATTGGAAAGTGTGTGATCAATTCGTAGTTAGCCAGAAACCATCATGAAAACGCGCTCTCTCTCTCTCTCTCTCTTTCTCTCTGTCTGCCAAAAGGCAGTGTCCAGCTTACAACTAGAAAACACACACACACACGCACAACCGTACATATAGACACACATGAATACGCACACCAGAGAATTGCATGTCAAAAAATAAAATAGTTTCAAAAGTGCCCTAAATTTCGTCAAAATATTACAAATCAACACCAAAAATACATGTTGCTTAAGGGATTATGACACTCTAGAGTCATTCAAGAAATCATAAAGTCACTTAAAAGAAGAAGTTTATAAATTATGTGGATTTACTAAAGAAACGAATATGTTCCTTGTCCAATTTCCAGGCTCTTCAAAAATATATTCTTTAAGGCATCATATTTTGATATATATAGTCAATATATCAAAAATATGTATATAAATTAAATAGTTAATAACAAAATAGCTATGCAAATTACAAAAATGTAGCTGCTTCTATAAAGAATTTATTTTCTAAGGTGCATGTAAAATTTGGACTGAAATTGTTCAACCAATTGATTAAGTCAGCTCGAAAACTAAGTTTTTATCCTTCAATGAGTTATGATTAGGATCCTTAGAGAATCCTTAGGGAACCCAAAAATGATTTTTCTTAAAATTCTAGAGTCTTATAAGCCCTTAAGTGTAAGCAACTTACACGTAGATCGAACACAAATCCTACGTCAAGATATATATAGTGACATATCCATAGTCGCACCCACCCTTTAACATAACTTAGCACATAAGCATAAGCACAATTATAAACATTTCTAATATTGTAAACAAAGAGCCTGGTGATAACATCGACATTGGTCAAGATCAAACTGTCCCCCTTTGGTAGACATAAACAATTCACCCTAAATATCACGCCACTGTCAATGTTCCCATCAGAGTACTATCCCACGCATAATTGCTGACGCAGCTCAAACTTCACTCAATTTTGACTCAAACTCTCTCAAAGCGAAGTTTGCTAAGCGACCGCAACAGTTAGATAAATCAGTTCTTATTCGGGAAGCAAATCTGAATGTACTCAACAAAAGTAGCCGTTAAGTGAAAATAATAAATTGAAATATATTTTTTATAGTAACCTAACGTGTAAAACTTAATTGGCGCAGCCGGTAGGATACGTCGGGAAAAATTAAAGATCGCTAAAGGATAATTAATTCCCAGATCTAACGCACAATCACGACCGAAAGTGTTGTCGGAGTGTAATAAAAATTTTCTCGAATACGTATCCGCACAAGAACCTTCGGGTCACTAGTAGCTTAATAATATTGACCCTTTGGGCAATAAAGCTACTACAGTTAATAACGACTGGCTTTGCATATCGTTTGATCCCTGCAATACGTTATTACTGAGTCTTTTTAAGACACACACACAAAAAAAAAAAAACATTTACACAATAATCCATCACAAACTTTAACTTAAAATAAAAGTGCAAAATCAAAGAACAATAAAGTTCAAACCTACAAACTCAAAACTATTCAAAAAAAAGTGTATTACACCAAGATGACAATGGAATTATCAGAACAACACCTCAACCAGGCCCTTTCACAACTTAGACAGGTGCCAAGCTTTGACGGATCAACGGATCAACTAAACGCCTTCATTAAAAGGATAGATTACATCCTACACCTGTATCCAACCCGAGATGTTAGACAACATAGCATCTTATACGGAGCCATCGAATTGCAAGTCACAGGAGATGCTCAGAGAATATCACAAAGGACAGCAGCCAACACTTGGCAGGAGCTGAGAAACGCATTGATTGAAGAATACAAAGTGCAGACACCATTTGAAGAACTCCTTCGACGCTTATACAACACGAATTACCAAGGAAACGTCCGTAAGTTCATCGAGGAGCTCGAGAATAAATCTTTTGTTATATTAAATAAGTTAGCACTAGAAAATATACCTAGCAATACAACCCTTTATACAAATGCTATGAATAACACAATCAAAGATGTTATTACAAAAAAATTACCAGATAGGCTTTTCATGATGTTAGCCAGACACGACATTACGTCGACACAAAAACTAAAGCAAGTAGCTCAAAGAGAGGGATTATATGAAAATAGCTTTACTGAAAAACCTAAAAATAATAATGTTCAGGGAAATCCAAATAACAATCGTAGGAACATGGGAAATTATCAGCAAAATGCTAACCCAACCACCATTTCAAGTGGTTATTCCAACACAAATCAGAGTTATCACGCACAAAATAAACAGCACAATAAGTCCGAAGACAATCAGAAAGCTCACCACGAGTTCCAACAGAAATTAAGTCAAGGTAGATACCAAAATCCCTTAAACTACCAAAATCAGTCCCATTCACGCTTGAATGCACCAAACCCTCCGACTAAACGTCAAAGAGATAGTAACAGTGGGCAGATGAAAATGGATACATCCGAAAATTTTCATCAGCAAGCCTCGGAACAAACAGAAGAAATCCATTCATAAAATTGATTATGAATGACGAAGTTCTAAAATGTGTCATCGACACAGGTTCAACCATTAATCTAATGAAAACTAACCGCTTAAATTTTCCAGTTTACAACGAAACATTAAAGGTTCACACCATAAATGGTGTTATTGAATTAAAACAAAGTATACGATTAGGAGCAAGCAAAATTTGTCCGAGCAAACAAAAATTCTATATTCACGACTTCTCAGAGCATTATGATGTTCTGATTGGGAGAGAATACCTTGAGGCATGTCAAGCAAAAATAGACTATGCACAAGGATCCGTAACCTTAGGAGAATTTAACTTTTGTTTTAGATATAACGACGAAGAGGTCGAAGAGGACATGACCGCACAAGAGTGCCTTGATCCACCCTCAACAGAGGACAGACCATTTAACTTCGCTATAAATAATGAATTAATAGAAAACAATGAGTTTAGGCTAGAGCACCTAAACTCAGAAGAAAAAGAAAAAATAAAAAAAGTTTTACATGAATTTCGTGATATCCAGTACCATGAAGGTGACAATTTGACTTTCACTAGTACAATTAAACACAAAATTCTAACAAAACATGAGGACCCAATTTACAAGCGTCCATACAAATATCCTCAAATATACGATGAGGAAGTAAATAAACAAATAAGCGATATGATAAAACAAAATATCATACGTAAATCCAAATCCCCTTACTGCTCACCAGTAATAATCGTTCCAAAGAAAAACGATGCATCTGGAAAGCAAAAGTTCCGGTTAGTCATAGATTACCGCAATCTCAATGAACTAACTATTAATGATAAATACCCTATCCCGATCATGGATGAAATATTAGACAAACTTGGAAAATGTCAATATTTCACAACCATTGATCTAGCCAAAGGCTTTCACCAAATCCAAATGGATCCTGGTTCAATACCCAAGACCGCATTTTCGACTAAACATGGCCATTACGAGTACACTCGCATGCCATTTGGTCTTAAGAATGCACCTGCAACGTTCCAACGTTGTATGAACAATCTCTTAGAAGATTTAATTTTTAAGGATTGTCTGGTCTACTTAGACGACATTATTATTTTTTCCACTTCATTGGAGGAACACATTTTGTCGCTACAAAAGGTATTTAAGAAGCTTAGAGAAGCTAACTTAAAACTACAGTTGGATAAATGCGAGTTTATGAGAAAAGAAACTGAATTTCTCGGTCACATCATCACAACTGAGGGTATAAAACCAAATCCCAACAAGATACAAGCAATTGTCAAATTCCCAATTCCAAAAACCCCAAAAGAAATTAAATCATTTCTAGGATTATGTGGTTTCTATAGGAAATTTATACCAAATTTCGCTAATATAGTAAAACCATTAACACTTAAATTAAAAAAGGGAGCAAAAATCAATATAAAAGACAGAGACTACGAACTAGCGTTTGAAAAGCTAAAAGTACTCATAACATCCGACCCAATTTTAATATACCCTAACTTCGAAAAACCATTTTCATTAACTACAGACGCGAGTAATATGGCAATAGGGGCCGTCCTTTCGCAAGAGCATAAGCCTATATGCTATGCAAGTAGAACTCTCAACGAGCATGAGTTAAATTATTCAACGATTGAAAAAGAATTATTAGCAATCGTTTGGGCCACTAAATACTTTAGGTCCTATCTCTTTGGTCGACAATTTCAAATCCTTAGTGATCACAGACCACTCGTCTGGTTAAATAATATGAAAGAACCTAACATGAAATTACAAAGGTGGAAGATCAAGCTAAATGAGTTTGATTTCCAAATTAAATACGTCCCAGGAAAAGAAAATTATGTGGCAGATGCTCTGTCCAGAATTCAATTAAACGAAAACTTCTTAGGCGAAGATACAATTAGCACAAGAGCAACAATACATAGTGCTCAAGAAGACAACAGTAACCATTTACAAATCACAGAAAGACCACTTAATTATTATAATCGACAAATAGAATTTGAAAAAGGAACCGAGAACGAAACAAAAGTTACGAATTACTTTCACAAAACCAACATAAAAATTACGTACAAAGACATGACTAATACGCATGCCAAAGAATTAATAAAAGAATACTTATGCACAAAGAAAAGTGTGCTATACTTCCACAACGAAGCAGATTTTCCAATTTTTCAAGAAGCCTACTTAGAAATAATAAGTCCGAATAATTCAACAAAGGCAATGAAAACTAGTACAAAATTAATAGACCTTCAAACATACGCAGAATTCAAAGAATTAATATTAAAAAAGCACAAAGAATTATTACATCCAGGAATTGAAAAAACTATCAATTGGTTCAAAGAAACCCACTATTTCCCAGATTATCAAAATCTAATTCAAAATCTAATAAATGAATGTGAGATTTGCAACATCGCAAAAACAGAACACAGAGATACAAAATTAACTTTCGAAATAACTCCGGAAATCGCTAATATCCGAGAAAAATATGTAATGGATTTTTACATAGTAGGAGATAAACAATTTTTATCTTGCATTGATATCTATTCAAAATTTGCATCATTAATAGAAATAAAAAGTAGAGACTGGCTAGAAACCAAACGAGCTATATTACAAGTGTTCAACCAAATGGGTAAACCCATCGAAATAAAGGCAGACAAAGACTCAGCTTTTATGTGCACAGCTTTACAATTATGGCTAAAATCAGAAGCAGTAAATATTAATATAACCACTAGTAAAAACGGTATATCCGACGTAGAACGATTTCATAAGACAGTTAACGAAAAACTAAGAATCATTAACAGCGACTCAGACGTCGAAAATAAACTTACAAAATTTGAAACTATACTCTACACGTACAATCATAAAACAAAGCACAAAACGACTAACAGAACACCAGCGGACATATTCATATATGCAGGTACACCAGAGTATGACACTCAAGCTAATAAAGAAAAACTAATAAATAATCTCAACAAAAAACGAACAAATTATGAAATTGACACTAGATACAAACACTCACCGTTAGTTAAATCAAAGACGACAACCCCGTTCAAGAAAACAGGAGAACTAAGACAAATCGACGACAAACATTTTGAGGAAACTAACAGAGGCAGGAAAATAACACATTACAAAACCAAATTCAAAAAGAAAAAGAAGACTAATCAAAGCAAATATAACAATTACAGGTCAACAACAGACAGCGATCAAAACATACAAGCACCAGCTTAAATTAATTATTATAATATTACTATCAATAACTGTAAACTATATAAATGCACAGAGTATTGAAATTAATCCTATCAAAGCCCATAACGGATATCTCATATTTAAAACAGGAACCATAGACATTCCGACAGATTACGAATTCCACTGTTTAACGGTTAATATAACAAAAACCGAAGAAACTTTTAACAATTTAATTGAACAAAGTAAAGAATTCAATAACCTTATACAAATCGAATACCTAGTAGAAAAATTAAACAGAGAAATAAACGGCTTAAAAATAGCCAAACGCAGCAAAAGAGGTTTAGTTAACATAGTAGGAACAGCATATAAATACTTATTAACGAACTAGATCAAGAGAAACAAAAAGGAAAGAAATTAGATATCCTTATATTTAACTTACAACACTTTACAGAATATATAGAAGACATTGAGATGGGAATGCAGCTCACAAGATTAGGAATTTTTAACCCAAAATTACTAAAACATGACTATTTGTTGCATGTTAATTCTGAGAAATTGTTGAATACAAAAACTTCCACTTGGTTTAAATCAGATACAAACGAAATACTTATAATATCCCATATTCCTCGAGAAATAATAAAAAGCCCGGTATTCGAAATAATTCCATACCCGGATGAAAATAATAATATTTTGACAGAAATAGCTCATGAAAAATATTTTACCCAAGATAAAAAAGTTTATAGCAGAGAAACAAAAAAATTAATTAATAATGAATGTTTAACAGGAATTTTAAACCAAATAACATCAGAATGTAGTTATACTAAAATTTTGCAAAATTTTCAAATCAACTACATAGAACCAAATATAATTTTAACTTGGAATTTACCAAAAACTATATTAAACCATAATTGTATAAATAACGAAATAACAATAGAAGGAAACAATATAATAAAAATCTTTAATTGTTCATTGCAAATTAATGAAATTTCAATTTCAAACAATATGTTAGATTATACTCAAAGCATTTACGTAAGCAATGATGTTATAAAATTAGAACCACTTTCGTTTGTACAAACGAAACAAATTATAAATGCACATACAAAATTTAACAATGTATTCCAGATAATTACAATAACCATATTTGTAATCATATTAATAAGTTTAACACTGTATTTGACATATAAGTTCAAAAGCATACCTAAGAAATTAATTATAAAATATAAAAAACCCAAAGTAGAAGAAACACCTACAATAATAGGAGATATACCAATTGTAAAAGAAGAAAATGTTACACTATATCCAAACTTAAACACCTGAGGACAGGCACTTTTCTAATGGTTGGGGGAGTGACATATCCATAGTCGCACCCACCCTTTAACATAACTTAGCACATAAGCATAAGCACAATTATAAACATTTCTAATATTGTAAACAAAGAGCCTGGTGATAACATCGACATTGGTCAAGATCAAACTGTCCCCCTTTGGTAGACATAAACAATTCACCCTAAATATCACGCCACTGTCAATGTTCCCATCAGAGTACTATCCCACGCATAATTGCTGACGCAGCTCAAACTTCACTCAATTTTGACTCAAACTCTCTCAAAGCGAAGTTTGCTAAGCGACCGCAACAGTTAGATAAATCAGTTCTTATTCGGGAAGCAAATCTGAATGTACTCAACAAAAGTAGCCGTTAAGTGAAAATAATAAATTGAAATATATTTTTTATAGTAACCTAACGTGTAAAACTTAATTATATATATGTATATTATAATCAATCTCGTGAAATCGCCAATTACACATTTTATATATATATATATATGTATATGTATAACAATGTTATGCAGGAGAGCCGGGTGCTGGATGTTCCGCTCACGCAGATGGGTGTGATGGATCAGCAGGTAGCTAATACTCATAAGACCCAAATAAATAAAATGACAACTTGCCAACAACCGAAGTTTAAAGTTTTTTCTTGAGTTTTCTATTTACTCAAATATCGTTCATCACCAAACGTAGCAAAGCAAAGCTCATTTCAAACGGCACTTCAACACCCAAAACTCTAGAAAAGTACCAACATGTCATCCAAAACATAAAGTATAATCGGACACCGATTACTGAATACCCTTGCAGAGCTTTCGGATTGGCTAAAGATTGTAATAATATGGGTTTTTTCTAGTGAAAAGATCAAATTTAAAAATCTTTTAAATTAAAAATAATAATTACAATTGTATTGCTTGATACTAAATACAGAAATCTTTATGTTATAAGAGTTCCTGATTTTGTAAGGCAGCTTAATACATTTCCGATCGGGTTTTTAATAATATTTATAAATTTATTACTTAGACCACATTATGGAGGATTCATTATACCCTTATTTACAAATATCTCAAGCAATTTACATTTAATTTATTATTATTATTTATGACTATTTCTCTCTGCAAGCGTATCAACCGCAATTAACCAAACGCAAAACTGATTATCACCTGTTCAATGCCATTAATTAAAATGTTATCAAGCAGTACAGACATTATATGAACATCATGCATATATTTAAAAGTAGGCGCGCTTTAATATTAATAAACAGCAGCTTATATGTAGATCCATTATCATCCGCTTCGAATTGAAACAGTGCATGCTAAATCATTGGTGTTTCTGAACAATTGTCGGATAAGTACATACTTTGTACAATTGTATAAAGTAGGGATAAGAATCAAATTAAGGACTTATTAACTCGCCATGTGAAGCTTTTTTGCATTTACTTAATTACAGCATGCAATGCATGTTTTTTCAATTAATTGAATGTTAAACAGAGCCAATAGATTTAAAACATATCACTCGTATGTAACCCACAGTAAACTGTTCCATCTTTGGGCGTAAGAAGAAGCAATGTCGGGACAAATATTTGGCAAAACATAATGCCATATTCGATACGCTTGATGTGGTCACATACGAAGAGGTTGTCAAAGTGCCAGGTAATATTTAATTAACCAACTAAAAAGCTAGATAATAATATGTTGTCCCTTGTACTTAGTGGGTGATCCGAACTTTCAGAGGAAGACATTGGTGCTATTAGGCGCACATGGCGTGGGCAGGCGGCATATTAAGAATACTTTAATATCAAAGTATCCCGATAAGTACGCCTATCCCATACCACGTAAGTTAAACTAATTAAACAGATTAAGAGCAAATAATTAATACAAACTTGTTTTATGAACAGATACAACGAGACCTGCTAAGCCCGAGGAGGAGAACGGACGCAGCTATTACTTTGTTTCACATGACGAAATGATGGCCGATATTGGTGCCAATGAGTATTTGGAATATGGTGAGCATATGAAACTAGTTGCCTATAGTTTGCATTCAAACAAAATGTTTATGAATAGGAACCCATGAGGACGCCATGTATGGCACCAAGCTGGACACGATTCGACGCATACATACCGAGGGTAAAATGGCTATACTAGATGTGGAGCCGCAGGCACTTAAAATACTGCGCACAGCTGAATTTACGCCCTATGTGGTGTTTATAGCGGCGCCATCGCTGCAGAATATTGCGGATGTAAGGCTCGAGTGTCGCAAGAGTTTTTAATTAAGCATTTGTAATTGAAAATTTGTATTTTGAAATGCAGTACGATGGCAGCTTGGAGCGTCTGGCCAAGGAATCGGATATGCTGCGTCAACTGTATGGACATTTCTTTGACTTGACCATTGTGAACAACGATATAAGCGAGACGATTGCCACGCTGGAATCGGCCATTGAGCGTGTGCACACCACACCACAATGGGTGCCCGTCTCTTGGCTCTACTGACAAGACAGTGAGCTGGAATGCCCCGACTGTCTCGATGGCTGCGATTGCGAGTGGGATGCATACACAAAGGCGTCCAATGTGGCGCTATACTGAGTACACATACACACACCATTAAAGTATTAACAAGGCACAAATACAACACAGCAAACAAGCATCTACAAGAAACATACACACGCAGTCAAATTGGAGCGCATGGCGCCCATTTATTTACATAAAAACAAAACACACACACACATACATCTATAGAGAATGGGTATTATGGGAATTGCAGTCGCAACGCAAAGACAATTTGTAAAGCTTAAAAATACTTATTTAAATTTGAGTTTCTGTTTTATTGTTTATATTTGATGTTTTTTTAGTCAACATAAGTTAAATATTAATTGTATTTGCCATTCCAGCAAGCTGCGCACTGCGGCCTGTTAATTGTTTGTGTTATTGTTTTATTTAATATTGCTCTTAGTATTCTTTTGCCAGACAGCATTAATCGCTTATGTAATTCCTTGCACTTGTTAGTGGTTAAGTTAAGTTGAACAGATAACAACAGAAGCACTCCAGCAACAAAATACAAAATTTAAAAGTTATACAATTTTTTGTTTTGTTTGCAACTTAATTAAAAGTCTTTTGAGAAGCGAGCGTGAAACGAGTTAGTAAATTATAGCGAACTACGTAATTAAATTTAACTAACATAGAACAAAATGAAAAGCATGAAGAGTCATAACGAGCAACTGCAACAATATGAGTATAAAATATAGTATGATGTGAGCAATTTCAAGTGTTTCAAACAAATTAAAAACAATTAAATACACATTGCAAAACAAAAAACAAAAACAAAAAAAAAATTAAAAACAAAATAAAATACAAACATTTAAAAAATATATTGTGCACGGTTTTAAATGCAATAAAGAAAATACATCATGCAAATGATTTACACGTACATACACAAAGTAAAACTGCGAAAATGTCAAAGCATTTGCGAATAAATTGTTGAAGTTGAATTAATTTAATTAAGAATTTAAAAGGAAATGCAATCAAACAAAATAAGCGTAATTTATTTGCCGCAGCGTTAACATTATAAACGACACTTAATTAAAGAAAGGCAAATAAAAACATAGAGTGAGCACAAAAATGAACACACACACACACACACACACACACACACACTTACTAACATCAACAATAAAGTAAAAGTAAAAGTAAAATAAAACGAAAACAAATGGTAAAATTAAATACCCTTTGAACCACTATTTAGTAAAGAGTAAATAATGTGTGCATGTCAACGCACCAAACACATAGACAAACAGACACTCGTATAAATAAAAAAAAAATATACACATATATTTTTGAGCAACTCAAACTCAGGTTGGATACATTGAAAATCAGACATGTTGAATAAGATTAATATAGCGAGCGCTTCCTTTTAACCCACAGCCAATAAGCCAGAACAGACAGCTAAATCTAGTGAACCAACACAATGAGCCCACAATCCAAAAAAAATATAAAACAAAACAAAACTTAATAAAAAAAATCAAGAACTACAAAAAAAAAAAAAAAAAGAACCACCCAATAGCGTCGCAGATTTAAGTTTTTAATGCTTTGTATTGTGTATACAAAAGATTGTGTAGAAAAACTATGAAAACAAATTGAGGCAGCAGCAAAGGAGCTCATCAGTTTTACAGGTTTGCTAAAGGCACCTGCTTTTATATAGTGGAAAATACTTGCTAGTTTTGATTATTTACATAAATGTATGTCTGATCTTTTTTTTTTCAAATAATTCTGTAATCTAAAAGACAAACAAATGAAGTGTAGATAAACCAAGACTTCTGTGTACGCTGTTAGAGCCAAATTGCATGTGCAAACTTATGCATGAAAGCAGAGTCTGGAAATTATCTGAAGATTGTGCACAACTGAAACAATCATAAAAAGCTCATAATGTCACTTAAATATATGCAAAAGTAGATTGAATGCCATGCGTCTCAGGGTAACCTGCAGCTGGATTTCTAAGCTACGTGGAACACTCTTACTTTAGGCCAACATAAAAGCGCCAAACACAAACAGAACAACATATTGGACAAGAAAAACGCGAACACGTAATTCTTCTAGAATAAAACCACAAAAAAAAAAAAAAAAAAACAATTACGAAAAATCGATGAAAAACATTTAAATTTATAATCATAAAGCACTTTTGGCGGCAGTCAGCAACCAATTAAACCCAATTTGATTCCCAACCCAATTGAGCCGAAGCTTATTTTGAGTACCACTAGCCTCCATCCAATCCACACAATAGTTAACATGAAGTTACCCACAACAACTACATGAACAATTCTATGGTTTCAAGATGGTTGAACAATTTACGCATATACCACATACTATATAGTATGCACAGTGCTTGTCTATCAATTTTACGTTCCGAGCGTTACAGCTGACGACAGGCAGGCAGGCAGGCAGGAAAGAGAGCAGGCAATGTAAATCATAGATGTATTCCCAAAGACAAAGAAGAACCTACCCAAGAACAAGAACTAAAATACCTACTACCCACGACAAACGCAGCCGAGTGGCCAAATTAACTAAGTAGTAACATATACCTAAAAATCTAGAAAGTGTATGTATTGTATGTAACATATATTTTGCAGCCCCCAGTTGGCTGGGTGTATCACAACACCAATGCTCAAAAATCAAAATCTTATATTTTACGATAATTGCGTAATACGTGTGAATGTATGATGTTAGAAAAAGGGGGCCCCTTCCGGCTAAATATGTATAATTGTCATTATTACTTATTATTATTTTTGTTTTTGGTTTTGTTTTTGTTTTTTGTTTTCATAGCAAATGCGAGCAAATTGTAGCGATTATATTAAGAATAATTTCACATTAAATTTAAGTAAAAATTTATTGTTGATATTAAATAAATTAAAACCAAAACAAACAACTCGAGCGGATTAGAATTTTTCTCTAATTTCCTGAGTTGGCTAACAAATGGCAATGAAAGGATAATGATGTATTCATAAGGATAATACTGATACTTATGATCCACAATGTCAATACAAAAAAAAAAAAAAAAAAACAAAAAAAGAAGAAAAGAAAACAGAAATTGACTATATTTGAGCTATTTGAGTGAATTGTTATTAAAATATAAATGGAATAAGATCGATATGTGCAAATAATTGAGACGTTAGTAAAAATCATTTAAAATTGAATGATGAAAATGACATTATATATACACATAGTTTAAACATGGGATTAATAATAAATACAAATTGAAACGAAAACGGAATGCAAAATTGAAAATTAATAAAAACCGAACAGCAAATAAATCAAGACCGAATTTTCAATACATCTCGAGCTGAACCTAAAATGAAATAAACGCAATTTATCTGAAGGTACGCATATGGCATATAATTACATTGAGGCGAAAGAGAAACACATTGAATATGTACTTCAACCAGTTTTAGCACCGATTTACTCGGAAACGGCTACATCAAGCAACAAGTACACCCGTTCTTTCTTAGAGGTTGACCTGCGGAATTCAACGAAATGCACCGAAGATCGTGACAACTTAAATCCGGTCGTCGCTGGAGTTTCTAATTGAAACATTTTGTATAATAAAAAAGACTAAACTTCAAATATCGTCGACAGCTCTAAATTTGACCCAAATTTCGGTGCATATTTTTCAAGGTAATGCGAATTTGATACTTTCGTTTTTTTTTCGGATCTTGTTTTTTTTTTTGGGCGGAGTGTGTTGACCGGCAACGCGACTGTCAAAAGGTTTTTAATTTCAGCAATTGCTCCACAATTCTATTGAAGTATTGCGCAAGTTTTAGCTAAATTGCAATCATTTCAATTTGCTATACGACAATTTGTTCGTCCCATGCGACACGGGCTACGGCCCAGGTCGCGCTTCCCAGTTCCCAGTTCCCAGTGCCCAGGTCTCGGGCCTTTTAGTATGCCAATGTGGAAGCGTCAGACGTGCTGGGAAATATTAATAAGCGGAAAAGCTGTGGGGGAGCTCACACATGCACCAACACAACATAGACAACAAAAGACATTTAGACATTTGTGTCATGTGCTATTACCGTTGTTGCGCCCCACTGTGCGTGTGTGTGTGTGCGTGTGTGTGTGTGTGTTGTGGGCGTGACAGTGGCAGGCAGGCGACCAGAACATCTGCCCGTCAGTCATTGAACTGCGTCTGCAGCACAGTGGGCAGAAATACCTTCAAAATTATAGTGCAAATAAAATTCAAATTTAATTAATTGCTCTGCTTTGATCTTAGATCAATAGATTTTGTTCATTTTAGTTAAAACAAATCAAATTGCGCTACTTATTTTTGAACATTTTTACCATGTGTCAGGGAATATCTTTTTATACTTTGAAAAAGCATCTCTAGATAAAAAAATAACAGTGTTTATTTTTTAACAAAGTACAAAAAAAAAACAATAGGATTTTTAAAATAAATTTTAGAAGAATAATAATTGCTTGCATTTGGCTACTTGAGTTTAGGATATTTACTATTCTGGTTGGAATATGGAATTACTAATGCGAAAGTAATTAATATTTTTTATATGAAATTATATATTATATATATGTGACCTAAAACGAGATTAAGGTTTTAGTAAATTGTAGTAAAATATATAATTACTGTCAATTTATCGCATGGACCAGTTTTCATTCATTTTCTCTCTCTTCGCTTGGATGTTTGCGGCAGCTGTGCATTCAGCTAAATTCAACCGATCGCAAGCGATTGTAGACCACTGTGCGCTGGAGCGTCGCCGCTCAGCTTATTCTCTCAAGCGATCGAGTTTTGGTAGCTGGTCGCTGGTCGCTGGGCAGACCGGCAGCCAGTTTCAGTTTAGCTTCGAGTCTGCGCGGTTGAAGTTGTGTCCGTTGGCACGGCTCGTTTTCGAGGTGTACTCGTAAGTGCTTAGAGAATCGACAACGACGTCAGATTCCGGCTTTTTAAGTGCAATTGGAAGGCACGTGTATGTGTGTGTGTGTGTGTGTGTTGGTGTGTGTCTGAGTGTGCTTCTGTTGTGTGTTTGTGTGGGCAGCCGGAATTTCAGTGTGCTATTGCTGAAACCTCAAAACAAAAAAAAAAAAACAAAAAACAGTGCGCGCAAATGTAACGGCAATAACTATCAAAATTAATTCTATTTAAAATTAATTGTTATTTGTCTGTAAAGTCAGGCGCTGGCTTATCAAATTCCGCAAAGGTCAATGGCGGCGCCTTTTAGCCATGCTTCATCTGTATCTGTTGCGTCGCCTTCAGAATTATGTTCTCCGCCGGGCTTGACCTTTAACATCAGTTGTATTTATGTACAGAATATATATATATATATATATATATATATGTACATTTAATGATGCTAAACGTGCCTTGTGCATTGGCCCCTGGTGTCAGTTAGCCGCGCGATAAGGCAAACCAGTGGCAAACAAGTCGCCGTTGTCGTCGCTCAATCGGTTTTTAGTACCAAGACTAAGTCTAAGCTCCTCTGAGTGCGTGTCAAAAAGCTTATCGAAATCCGTAAGTGTGTGTGTGTATAGATGCTTCTGCTGCCTAATGTTGCTTCGTGAATTCTCGTGTGCAGTCAAAAAAAAATAAAAAAAATAAAACGAAATGAACAGAATTAAAAAACTTTTAATGTGAGCTCAGCTTATGCTAAATGTTGCTCAAGGAAAATGTATATACAAAAAGTATTAACTGCAGACCTTATGCGTGCCCTTCGTGCGACGAAGCGCGTCACCCTCCTCCCGCCCCCCTCGCGACCTGGCCAC